GTTTCTCTTATTCCTATTCGACAAACGCAGCAGCAGCTGCAGCAAGAGAAGCCCGTCTTTGCAGTTATAAAGGAGCAGCAGCTGCCAGCAGCAGCAGCAGCAAGTGCAGCAGCAGCAGCAATGCTGCCGTCGTCGCACCGTCTCCATGTAAGGCCTTCAAATGACAGCGTACAGCAGCAGCAACAGCAGCAACGCAAGTAGCAGCAGCAACAGCAGCAACACAAGCAGCAGCAGCAGCAGCAGTTGCTTGTTTTGCCGTTGATGGATGATGTTTGCATGTGCGTTGTTGCTGCTGCAGCTGCTGCGGAGAGCAGCAAACGATGAAGCTGCGCTGCTGCTGCTGCTGGACTTCCCGTTGCTGCTGCACCTGCGGAGACACCTGGCGCGGCCTCAAGACTTCCAGGCCCTCTGCATCGCTGTTAAAGAAGCTGCAGCAGCAGCACCTGCTGCTCCTGCGGCAGACCCCTTGGCTGCTACGCCTAACAGCAGCAGCAGCAGCAGCAGCAGCAGCAGGCGGCTGCCAGGGCCCCTGTTTCGTCTGCTGCAGCAAATCGCCATCGCTTCAACGCCGTAGCTGCCTGAGACTCTCACTGCAGACAGCAGCAGCAGCAATAATAATAATAATATTATTATTAATACTAATACTAATAATGTCTGATGCTTTGTTAGCTCTGTACGCTGCAATTAAAGCAGCAGCAGCAGCAGCAAGCTAACGTTCGTGCTGCTGTTAACTCCGCAGCAGCAAGTGCATAAACACCGCCTGCTGCAGCAGCTGCGCTTCCTGCTGCTGCTCACCAGTCGCTGTTGCCGTCGAGCAGCAACAGCAGCACCAAGCGTAGCAGCAGCCGGCGCAGCAGTAGCAAGCGCAGCAGCAGCAGCACTAACAACGCATGCAGACTTAGGAGACACTAAAGTTAGGTTTTGTTTGCTGCACCGACCAACATCGGTCCCGGCCAGGGACAACTTAGTTGCAGCTGCTGCTGCAGCACTGGCTGCTGCTGCTGCTGCAGCAGCAGCTGCAGCGCGTTGCACAGGACGAGAGATTTGTTACGCTGCACCAACTCATTTCAGGTGTACAGGTGTACATTAATAACAAACCAACTGCAGCAGCTGCTGCAGCAGCAGCGGCTGCTTTTGCTGCTGCTGCAGCAGCAAGACCTGCTCAGCGGCGGGTACACCCCTCGGCACATATCTCCTGGGGGCATTACAAGCAGCAGCTAGTTGCTGCTGCTGATTCTGCTGCTACTGATTCTGCTGCTGCTGTCGTACCGAGAAAAATGGCTGTAGACTCTAGTAATGCGGCAGCAGCTCCTGCTATCGCTCGCCGCTGCAGCAACTGCTGCAGCAGCTGCTCTATGCAATGCGTAGCAGCAGCCGCCAGGCATCTCTCGTCATCATATACAGAACTCCTGCTGCTGCTGCTGCTGCTGCTGCTGCTGCTCCTCTTGATGCTGCGGCTCCATCCCGCAGTGTCTGGATGGCGACATTGGCCATGATGGGGCGTCTGTTTCTGCTGCTGCTGCTGCTGCTGCTGCTGATTGTGCTGCTGCTGCTGTTTCTGTTACCCCCCTGTGGGTCGGACCTGGCGCCCCCAGCAACTCTACGCCGAGTTGCTGCAGCCGGTGCTGCTGCTGCTGCTGCTGCTGCTACTGCTGCGTATGCTGCTGATCCTGCATATGGTGGTGCTGCTGCTGCAGCAACTGCTGCTGCTGCTGTTGCTGCTGCTCGATGAGACGACGGCACCATGTCCGCTGCAGCAGCTGCTGCTTGAAACGCTGTTCACGTAGAAGTTGCTGCCGCAGCAGCTGATGCTGCCGCAGCAGAATCTGCTGTTGTTGCTGCTGCTGCTGCTCTACCATATAAGGCCTGCGAGCTGATGCCTGCTGCAGGATTTGTTTGGGCGCTGCGCTGCTGCTATTTTTATGTCGCAGTAGCAGCAGCAGCTGCTGCTGCTGGTGAATGGCGAGCCTCTGGTGACGCAGCAGGTGCTGCTGCTGCTGCAGCCGCTGCTGCAGCAAGTGCTGCTGCTCGTGCAGCACCGACAGCAACCGCTGCTCTCGTTGCGCGCTGCTGCAATAGATCTCTTCAACTGAAGAGGTGCAGCAGCCATCTCCAAGTAGCTGCTGCTGCTGTTGCTGCTGTTGCTGCTGCTGCTCCTGCTGCTGTTGCTGCTGTTCTTGGCATGCACCGGGACTGGGGAAGTGCAACTGCAGCAAACCCTGCTGCTGTTGCTGCTGCTGCAGCAACAGCAAGGTTTGCTGTTGTTGCTGCTGCTGCAAGTGCGTCGCAAGCCGTTGGCTAAGGAGAGCGTTGCTGCTGCTGGCCTCACCTTCAGCAGCAGCAGCTGCTGCTGCTGTAGGCTGCGCAACAGCAACAAACTGCTGCTGCTGCGGCGAGGGGTAGCAGGCAGGAGAAGTAGGCGAAGGGGCTTCGGATGCGCAGCAAGTGCTGCCAGTTGCATGCCCCATAGAAGGAGACACTGCGGAGCAGCAGCAGTTGCTGCTGCTGCTGCTGCTGATGCTGCAGGACAAACAGGGCTGTGCTGCAGCAACAGACAGAAAAGTGCTGCTGACGCTCCCCGCCCCTCCTAACCCTCTCCCGCTGCTGCTGCTCCTGCTGCTCTTCGCAGCTACAGCAGCAGCAGCAGCAGCTGCTGCTGCTGCATCTTGACCGCAGATGCACTGCGCACCTCCGCTCCACTCCCCGTCTCCACGCCGTTCGCTTGAACCAGCAGCAGCAGCAGCAACAGCAGCAGCAGCAGCAGCAGCGGGGCCACCATGCGCTGAAGGCCTCGGCCTCATGCTGCCTGCTTGGCAGCGGTGACCCCTGTACTGCAGCAGCGCCTGCTGCTGCTGCTGCTGCTGCTGCACATGTTGCGCTAGCTGCAGCTGAAGTTGGTGCTGGTGCTGCAGCCGGCCCTGGCAATAGTGCGGCTGCTGCTGCTGCTGCTCCGCCGTCTGCTGCTGCTGCTGTTGCTGCAGCACCTCGTGTGGGGAGCAGCAACCTGCTTCTGCGTAACGGATAATGTCCCAATGTCCTACATGCTGCTGCTGCTGCTGCGGCTGCTGGTCAGCCTCAGACACCATGAAGTGTAGAGAATGTACAGTGCAAGCTGCTGCTGCTGCTGCTGCTGCTGCTGCTGCGCCCGCTGCTGCTGCAGCATGCTGCTGCTCTACGTAGCTGCTGCTGCTACACCAAGCACCCCTATCACAAGGAACTCCGTGCAGCATTAGCTGCTGCTGCTGCTGCTGCTGCTGCAGCTGATGGTGGTGCAGGGAGCTGGCTTCCGGCTTGTGACATCCACGCGGGGAATCTTCGTACGCAGCAGCAGCAGCAGCTAGTGCTGCTGCTGTTGTGCTGCTGCCGCCGCTGCTGCTGCTGCTAGGTGTCTCCTCCGCTTCGGTAGGATGCACAAACGCAGATGCTGCTGCAGTGCTGGCGTCCGCAAAGTTTTGCTGCCACTCGCAGCCGCAGCAGCAGCAGCTGCTGCAGTTGTTGCTGCAGCAGCTGCTGCAGTTGCTGTCGCTACAGCTCTTGTCAGTCGTGCTGCTGCTGCTGCTTCCCTGCAGCAGCGCCTTGTATGGGTGTCTGAAGCGTCCGCTGTTAGCAACAACTGTATCTGTTATAAGTGCTGCTGGTGTTTCCTGTTGCTGCTGCTGTTGCTGCTGCTGCAGCAGCAGCTGCTGCTGCTGCTGCTGTGAATCACCTTGGTAAGAAATAGCAGTTGCCTGGACCAGCTCTCCCGTTGCTGCAGGACGTTGCTGCTGCTGCTGCTGCTGCTGTTGCTGTTGCTGCTGCTGCTGCTGCTGGATATGGTGGTGCATCCAGCGTTGCGTTTGCTGCTGCGTTGACGGCTGATAGATAGTTTTGCTTCTTGCTGCAGCAATAACATTTGTCCTGTATCTATTATACTCCTCTGGATGAACAAACAAATCAAACGAAAGCAGCGATAAAAACCTGGCCTCTAAAAGGTTAAGCTCAGCTGTACGTACACCTCCTACACGTGCATAATGTTTATTACTATAATAAACATCATCATAAAACTTCGCAGCAACAGCAACAGCAGCAAGCAGCAACCTATGAATATTAAGGGCTGAGACAGACAACCCAGGGTTCTTCTCTAGAACCCTATCTATATATATCAAACATAACACAAAACACTCTTTGCTGCAGCAGAAATACTTCTCTACTCGCTGTAAATAAGCAGACACAGAGACAGAAGGTGAAGAGACAGCGTGAAAGGCTGTTATGTCGCTGCTACCTGCACATACACCGCAAGCATGCTAACTTAACTTATCAACTCATACTATATATATATATATATATTATGTATATATATTATATATATTATATATATACATATTATATAGATATATATAATTTATATATACTCAAAATAAATACATCTATATATTTATATATAATTATATATAATAATTATATATAAATATAATTATATATAAATATATATATAAATATATACATATAAATATATATAGTTGCACATATTAAGAGAAGAAAGACAGAAAAGAGAGACAGCAAACTACGCCTTCAAACAAATTAACAAAGACAAATAAATAAACAAAGACAAACAAATAAACAAAGACAAACAAAATAAATAATAACAAATAAACAAAGACAGACAAAATAAATAAAAACAAACAAATAAATAAAAACAAATAAACAAAACAAGCAAATAAAGAAAAACAAGCAAATGAACAAAGACAAACAAATAAACAAAGACAAACAAAACAAATAATAACAAATGAACAAAAACAAATAAACAAACAAAGACAAATAAGTAAACAAAGACAAACAAATTAACTCAATTAGAAAACAAAGACAAACAGACAAACAAAACAAAAAATAAATAAACGCAAATAAACAAATAAAGACAAACAAAACACAAAAACAAACAAATAAACAAAAACAAATAAACGAACAAAGACAAATAAACAAAGACAACCAAACAAAGACAAATAAACAAAGACAAATAAACAAAGACAAATAAACAAAGACAAATAAACAAAGACAAACAAATTAACACACAAACAATCAGCAGCAAAAAACTGCAGCAACAGACAACGCGCAGCAAATATGAGAAAAGAAGTTCTGCTGCGTCTGCTGCTGCTTCTGCCGCTGCGTCTAGTGTCGCTGCCATTGCAGCATCAGCCGTGCAGCAGCTGTTGCTGCTGCCTCTGCTGCTGCTGCTGCTGCTGCTGCTGCTGCTTACTGTTTGCAGAGGAGGTGATGAGGTGCTCCAACACCGCAGAGAGAGAAGAAATGAAGCCAGCCTCCGTAGGCGGTGCCTCAGCGAAACAGTCCCTGCTGCTGCTGCTGTTGCTGCTGCTGCTGCTGTTGCCGTTGCTGTTGCTGCTGCTGCTGCTGGGGCGGTCGAGCGCCTCCGGAGCCCCCGCCCCCACAGGATGCGCAGGACGCACAGTTAGACTCATCGTTTGCTGCTGCTGCTGCTGCAGCAGCTGCTGCAGCTGCTTCAGAGGGTTTCACTCTCCTCTGTCGCAGTACTTGAGACCGGCATCTCAATCACCTGCTGCACTTCGTGCTGCAGCAGCAGCTACTGGTGTTGCTGCTGCTGCAGTACACAGCAGCCGCAGCTGCAGATCCAGCTCTAGCTGCAGCAGCTCCAGCAGCAGCAATAGAGAGCGACCTGGGGTGTACACGTACACTGCCCTCAATACAAGCGCTCATCACGCTCTGCTGCTTCTGTCTCCTCAATAAATACACAGCAGCAAATTAGCTAGTAGCAGCAGCTGGTTGCTGCTGCTGCTGCTGCTGCTGTTGTCGCACTACGCCCTCTATCCACTTGCACGCTACTGCTGCGTCCCCCGTTCCCGTCCTTGCTGCTGCAGCTGCTGCGTTGCTGCTGCTGCTGCTGCTGCTGCTGAACTGCTACTGTGCTGCTGATGCTGCTAAAGCTTTAAACAGCTGAGTAACACACAAGAACACGCAGCAGCTGCAGCGGTGGTGCTGCTCACGCCTGCGTACACAGACCCGTGCAGCGGCAGCAGCAGCAGCAGCAGCAGCAGCAGCACGACTAGCAGCAGCGACAACTAACCTTGCTGCTACCCATTAAAAGACCACATAGTGAAGCAGCTGTTGCAGCCCACCCAGCAGAAAAGACAGGAGGTGTGTTGCTGCTTCTATTGCTGCTGCTGCTGCTGCTGCTGCTGCTGCTGCTGCTGCTCCCGCCCGGTGCCAGCTCCCGCTGCAGCGCCGCCGCCGCCGCAGCAGCAGCAGCAGCAAAGCAGAATAATGTTGCTGCTGCTCTTTCTTTTTTAATCTGTTGTAGGAGTAAGAGACACAAAGCAGCAAACGCGTGAAGGTGTGTACATACACCGCAACAGCAGCAACAGTAGCCGACGTGCAGCAGCAGCGGCTCTGTCTACCCGCGTTGTTAGGCAGCAGCAGCAGCAGCAGCAACAGCCGATACTGTTGCTGATGCTGAGTAGCCTATAGACAATTGTTAACAGAGTTTTAAATTAATTGTTGTTGTTTAATTGTCTTTATCTAATTTTTATTCTCATAGGATGGCGTCCCTTCGCTGCTGCTGCACTTGGGGTGTATAGGCAGCAGCTCACTGCAGCAGCTGCTGCAGTTGCTGCAGCGGCTGCAGCAGCGTTGCTTTGCTGCTAATACCTCCACCTGAGAGGTGTGGGGCCCAGCAGGGCTGAGGTGTATAGAGGAGACATCTAGAGAGAGAGGGATCAGCTGTCTCCTCTCTGCTGCTGCTGCTTCTACTGCTGCTTCTATTGCTGCTGCTGCTGCTGCTGCTGCTAAGACCGTGAAGTGGACGTGATACAGCAAACTTCAGCAGCTCGTTAGATAGCGCTGCAGTGTTAGCAGCAAACAGAGTTGGGAGACAAATAGAGACAGACAGATATAAAGAGATATAGAAGCAAATAAAGCAAAATAAAAGATAAGAGAAGTTAAAAGGAGACAGAGAGAGACAAAGAGAGACAAAGAAGAGACAGAAGAAGATAAAGACAGGCAAACGGAGACAGAGAGAGGTTTGCTGGTTTGCAGCAGAATGTCTCTCTGGCTGCAATATGAACAATGCTCTGCCTCTATCTGCTGCTGTCTGCTGCTGTCTGCTGCTGTCTGCTGCTGTCTGCTGCTGTCTCCTTTTGTCTGCTGCTGCCTCCTTCTTATCCTCTTTGTCCCTCCCTTGTTCAGTGCTGGCGTAAGAAGCCCCCTTTAATACCAGCAGCAGCAGCAGCAGCAGCAGCAGCAGCAGCAGCAGCAGCACGTTTGTGCTCTTCTCCCGTTGCTGCTGAAGGGCCCCGACAACACACCTTGCTTCTGTCTGTACACTGCAGCCCTCTGGACTCCTGCAAGCAGCTAGCCACACCCATCCGCACCTAGCCACAGCTAGCTAGCCACAGCTAGCTGGCCACAGCTAGCTAGCCACAGCTAGCCACCAGCTAGCCAACGGGAAGTCACAGCTAGCTATCCGCAGGCCACAGCTACCAAGCAGTCAACTGTTAGCCGCAGCTAGCCACAGCTAGCCAACAGCCAGCTAAGAGCTAGCTAGCATCTAGTTTACAGCTAGCTACCAGCTAGCCACAGCTAGCTAACAGCTAGTTACCAGCTAGCCATAGCTAGCCGATGGCTTTTGGCTAGCTAGGACTTCTCTGCGGATATTTTGAGGCCTCTGTCAGGCCCACACCTCTTCACTCACTAACTTGCTTCTGGCTGCAGCTAGCTGGCAGCTAACTAGCAGCTAGCCAACGGCTAGCTAGCAGCTAGCTAGCTGCTACGGCCGTCTCGAACCATCACTTAACTGGGATTCTGTCTCCTCTTTCTGTGTCTCTCTTTATGTGTTGGCTATAAACCTCTTTTTGCTGCTGTCAGCAACAGAATGCTTCTTGCTGCTGCAGATCAATGTGCAAAGGCAGCAGCAGCAGCAGCAGCAGCAGCAGCAGTAACTTGTGGGGTGCTGTTGGCATTCGCTGCCGATGGTACTATCTGGTTGCGGTGCTGCTGGTGGTGCTGCTGCTGCTTCTGTTGCTGCTGCTGCTGCTGCTGCTGCTGCTGCTGCTGCTGCTGTTTCTGGTGCTGCTGCTGCCACTACTGCTCCTGTATTTAGGCTGCTGCTGCTGCTGCTACAATAGCTGGGGCTGTACGTAGGACTACTGAATCTGTAATGCATGCAAACCTCCACTCAACAGCAACAGTAGCAGCAGCAGCAGCAGCAGCAACAGCGACAACAGCAGCAACAGCAGCAGCAGCAGCAGCAACAACAACGGCAGCAACAGCAGCAGCAGCAGCAGTTCAGGAAGCAGCAAAGCGAAGCAAATGTACGAACATCTTATTTCCACCGGGGCCCTCAGTCAGCACTGTCTCCGCAGCTAAGTGCACCTCTCTGCAGCAGCTACCGGTAGCTAGCTAGCTAGCTAGCCAACGCCACCAGCAGCAGGTGCAGCAGCAGCAGCAGCAGCACAGGACTTTGGCGCTGCTGCTACGAGGGCGGCAGCAAATTTGTGCTCTTGCGTTTGCCTTTCGAGGCCCTGTCATGTGCAGTTTGCTGCTGCTGCACTTGCTGCTACTGCACTTGCTGCTGCTGCACTTGATGCTGCAGCAGCTGCTGCAGCAGCTGCTGTCATTGCCGCTTCCTGAGCAGTGTCTGACTTTGCAGGCGCACCCCCACGACGAGCCGCAGCAACAGCACCCCCAGCAGCATCAGCAAGCCAGCAGCAGCAGCAAGAGCAACAGCAACAGCAGCAACAGCAGCAGCAGCAACTGGTGTTCAAGTTTCTTTAACAACACCGCATTGTGCTGCTTGAAATATAGCAGCCATTAGCTGCCGAGCTCGCCTTGAGATCAGCGGCTGCAGCAGACAGCGTAGATGCCTAAGGTTATCTCTCGAGGCTCTGTTTCCCCCCCACTGCTGCTGCTGCTGCAGCAGCAGTTGCTGCTGCTGCTGCTGCTGCTGCTGCAGCTGCTGCAGCTGCAGCTGCTGCTGCCAGGGGGGGGAGGTGAAGGAAGAAGAAGCAGGAGAAGGTGTGAAGCCCAGGTGCTGCTCGCTGCTTCTCGTAAGATCAGCAATCCACAAAGCTCGCAGCCGAGTTAGCAGCTGCAGCAGCGGCAGCACAGCAGCAGACCCTAAAGCAGAAGGCGCAAGAGAAACAACTAAATGGTTTAGGAGACAGGCTGTCCCTCTGTCTAATAAAGCTGCTGCTGCTGCTGCACTCCCTAAAGCAAGAAGTGCTATTGCATTTGAATCTGCTGCGCTGCTCTGAGGCTCCGTACCGACACCCCAGTTGCAGCAGCAGCAGCTGTTGCTGCTGCTGCTGCTGCTGCGCCGACGGCTGCTGCTGCCAGCAGCAGCAGTAGCTGCTGCTGCTGCTGCAGAAAAGGGCGTTGAAAGGCTGCTGCACACCTCGCCAGAATTCTCGCGTGCTGCTGCTTCAATTGCATCTGTTGCTGCTGTTGCTGCTTTATAAATGCTGTCCTGCCAGGCAGTAGGAGACGCAGCCCCGGGGTAGGTTTCAGCAGCAGCAGCAGCAGCAGCAGCAGCTGCTGCTGCTGCTCCTGCTGAAGGAGGAGCACTAAGACGTGAAGCAGGAGGAGCCCAGAATGCTGCTGCCTCTGCATAGAGGCCTGTCGGGCAGCAGCAAATGCGGTATATGCTTCCGTCTGCTGTTGCTGCTGCTGTTGCTGCTGCTTCTGCTGCTGCTGCTGCTGCTGCAGGGACTGCTGCACGTTGTGCTGCAGTAATGCTAGGAAGAGGGGGAGGAGGAGCATCTGAAGCTTCTATCAAGGCAGCTGCGTTTGATATTTCTGTGTTGCTGCGGTGGCGGTGAGTGCGTCTGTGTCTCAGTTGCTGCTGCTGCTGCTGCTGCGGCGGCAGCAGCAACATTTGCTGCTGATGCAAGTATTTCTGGTGTTTGTCTTGCGCCTTTTGAAACTGCAGAAGAGGTTTCCCTTTGCGGAGGAGCTGCTGCAGGTGGGGGTTTCTAGCGTGTGCTGCAGCAAGCTGCTGCTGCTGCTGCTGCACAACTGCAGCAGGAAGCAGCTTTGCTATCTGCCCGTCGCAGCAAAGTGCTAGACCCTTAAGGCTGCCGCCGCATGCAGCACATTGAGGCTGCCCAGGTAGGGGGACCCACAGCATTTCTGCTCCTACTGGAGCATATAGCTGCTGCCATTCCGTTATCCTTGGCTGCTGCTGCTGCTGCTGCTGCTGCTGCTGCTGCTGCTGCTGCTGCTGCCGCTGCTGGCCCTGCTGACCTTGTTGATCCCGCTTCTGTTGATTCTGCTGCTCCTGCTGATCTTGCTGCTGTGGCTGGTGCTGGTGCTGCTGTGGCTGATCCTGCTTCTGCTGCTGCTGATGCTGCTGCTGCTGCTGCTGCTGCTGGGGGAGGTCCTCGTAGAACACAGGCATCCGCGCCCAGTAGTCTGCTGCTTTGCTGCAGAACATTTGAAGCCACGGAACATCTGCTGCTGCTAAAGAAGAAGATGCTGCTGCTGCTGCTGCTGCTCCTGTTGCTCCTGCTGCTGCTTCTAACGCACTACTGCCATTCGCGTTCAAACTGCTGCTGCTGCTGCTGATGTTGCTGCTGCTGCTGCTGCTGCAGTCCCCCGCTGCTACTGCATCTTGGGGGAAGTATGCGGCTGGCGTTGCTGCAAGCAGCGGCGCTCCCGCGGTTGGTGCTGCTTCTGCTGCTGCATGTGCTGCTTGTGCATTTGCTGCATCACCAGCACTAGTTGCTGCTGCTGCTTCTGCTGCTGCATTTGCTTCTGAAACATAAACCTGTTGTTTTGCTGCGCTGCAGGCGGCTTGCGCCAGCCGGGCGCCTTCCCTATAAAGGGATACTCCCTCTTCGACGTGCTGCAGCAGCTGGTTCTGCTGCTGCAGCAGCAGCTGCATCTGCTGCTCCTGCTGCTCCTGCTCCTCGGCGTGCTGCTGCAGCCTCAGCCTTGTCGCACGCTGCTGCCGCAGCAGCAGCAGCAACCGCCACTGTCTCCGCTGCGAAGCAGCACAGCGGGGGCGCAGCAGCAAGCCACAGCGGACCCGGATGCTGCTGCTGCTGCTGCTGCTGCTGCTACTGCTGCTGCTGCTGGCGCCTACGACGGTGGGCAACGACTGCAAATGTGACTGCAGAGACGCTGCAAGCAACCGCAAGGCTGCTCTGCTTCCTGGTGCTGCTGCTGCTGCTGCACCAGCCTCTGCTGCTGCTGCACCTCCCGCTGCTTCAACGGCTGCAGCGGAACCTGCGGGTAGAGGCGCTGTTGCTGCTGCTGCGGCTGCTACAGCTGCAGCATCGCCGGCTGTCGGTGAGCTTGATCCCGTTGTTGCTGTTGCTGCTGCTGCCTCTGTCACAGCTGCTGGTGGTGGTGCTGCTGCTGCATCTGCTGCTACTTCTGCTCCTGCTGCTGCTGCTGCTGCTCCTGCAGCGTTGTTGGTTTGCTTCAGCTTGCATCTGAAGCGCAGTCGATAGGGAGAGAGCAGCAGCAGCAGCAGGGGATTGTGGGGCCTCAAGACAGGGGGGGCCCCCCATGCATGTAGCAGCAAATCTACAATAGCCACCTCCTGGCCCCGCTGCTGCTGCTGCTGCTGCTGCTGGCGTCTGCTGGTGTATTGCTGCACTTCTCTGTAGAGGGGGCCTCTTTGTCCGCGAGAAGAGGAGGAGCTGCTGCTGCTCTTCCTCCGTTCTGCTGCAGCCCCTTCTACCCCGCTGCTGCTGCTGCTGCTGCTGCTGCTGCTGCTGAGGGAAGCGTGAATGGAGGCTTTAGGAGACAGAAGGGGGGTTGGGGGTCTGCTGACGACAGCCTGCATCCAACGGCGTGCTGCTTCTGCTGCTCTTTTTGCTGCTGCTGCTCTTGCAGACTCTAATATGGCTTGAAAGGCAGCAGCAGAAGCAGCAGCACTGCACGCAGGATATGCAGACACGCTGCTGCAGGGATATGTAACAAGATATCCTGTCTCCATGTCTATACACCTCAGACAGAGGCTTGCTTCTGGCAGCACAACAGGAAGCTCCCCCTCCTCCTCTTCTCCCACCATATACTCATACTGCTGCTGCTGCTGCTGCTGCTGATGCTGCTGCCGCTGCTGCAGCAGCAGCAGTTCCTGCTCTTCATGCTGCTGCTGCTGCTGCTGCTGCTGCTGCTGCAAGGCGTGGCTGGCGCCAAATACGCTTAAGGACGACACTCCGGTAAACTGCCCCATGCTGAGGAAATCCTGGTGCTGCTGCTGCTGCAGCAGCAGCAGCTGCTGCTGTTGCTGATGATGTTGTTGTTGTTGCTGCTGCTGCTGCTGTTGCTGAGTAGGCACTTGGTTCCAATAGGGTAACTGCAGGGCCCATGATGCGCCCCCCTCCCTCCGCTGCTGCTGCTGTTGCTGCTGTTGCTGCTGTTGCTGCTGCGGCTGTTGCTGCTGCTGCTGCGAATGCTGCTGGTTCTGCATGCCGTCCGCTAGAGGGTGCGAACCTTTTGTGTGTTTTTGTGTTGCTTCTTCTTTGTGTTTGCTGCCGGCGCTGCTGTTGCTGTTGCTGTTGCTGCTGCTGCTGCTGTTCTTGCTGCTGCTGTGGGTGCTGCGCTTACCCGAGGTGTCTATACACCGCAGCAAAGCCCCACGAGCAGCAACAGGGAAGGGGACATCCAGCAGCAGGAAGCGGTCATTAAGAAAGGAGACGCTGCAGCAGCTGATGCTGCGCAGCAGCGGAGCAGCAGCAACCCAGGCATTCCACTGCCTGTACACCCAACGACACCATACATCATCGAGCTTGTTTTGTTCTGTATGTTCTTTGCTGCTGCTGCTGCTGTTGCTGCTGCTTCTGCTCTTTAAACTCTTGCTGCTGCAGTTGCTCCGCCGTCGCCGGCTGCTGTTGCTGCTACCCCAAAAGCTGCTGCTGTCGTGCCATCTGCGCTGCTGGAACCCTTGCTGCAGCAGCAGCAGGTGTTGCTGCTGCTGTTGCTGCTGCTGCTGCTGCGGATAGAAAGAGGCCCCTCCATCTTCGCTGCTGTAAGCGTCTGGGTCTTCAAAGTAAGAGTAGCTGCACCACGGCTCAGCCGCAGCTTCGTATTGCTGCAACCGCCGGCGCTGCTGCTGCTGCTGCTGCTGCTGCACTTCCATGTGCATCAGCGAGCACTGATCATCCCGCTGAAAGAGCCTGGTGGAGTGGGTGTAGTATTGCAGCTCGTCTTCATGGATCTGCTGCTGCCGCTGCTGCTGCTGCTGTTGCTGCTGCTGCGACAGATACACCTGCTGCTGCTGCTGTTGTTGCTGCTGCTGCTGCTGCTGCTCATTGTAGAACCCTGAAGCATCCTGTATGGATCCGTATGGCTGCCTAAATCTTTCCGCTGCAAGGCCTAGTTGCTGCTGTTGCATATCAAGCTGCTGCTCAAGCAGCTGTTGCTGCAGCAGAAGCTGCTGTTGCTGCTGCTGCTGCTGTTGCTGCTTTGCAGCGCTGTTTCTTCTGCTGCTTCTGTTGGGGGGCGCAGGCGGACTTGTGTTCGGTGCTACAGCAAATGCTGCTGCAGCATCAGCAAATGGATAGGAGGCATCAGCTGCTGCTGCACTTCCCCTTTGCTGCTGCAGGGACAGCAGCCACGAGCTGCGCTGTATCGATTCCTGCTGCTGCTGCAGATCCTGCAGTTGCTGCAATTGCTGCTGCTGCCGCTGTTGCTGTTGCCTTCCTTGCGTCTGCTGCCACCGGTACTGTGGCTGCGCCGTCTCTGGGGCAGCAGCAGCAGCAGCAGCAGCAGCAGCAGCAGCACTGTGGTGTCTAGTATGACCTTCGGGGCCTGTGGGGCCCCACACGCAATCTCGATAACCCCACTGTGCATACGGGGGGCCCTGGGAGACGCGGCCGGCAAAGGCAAGCAGCAGTGGATCCTCACAGCCTTGCTGCTGCTGCTGCTGCTGCTGCTGCTGGTCCGTCCAACGGGGGCGCAGCTGTGCATGCAGTTGAATAGCTGCAACGGAAGGACCCTCGGCGGCTGCAGAGCCTCCTGGCTGTTGCTCCTGCTGCATCTGCTGCTGCTGCAGCGCTTGCTGGTGCTGCTGCTGCAGCGCTTGCTGTTGCTGCTGCAGCGCTTGCTGCTGCTGCTGTGATTTCCGCCGAGCTCGTTTCCTCCGCTTACCCATCCCTGGCCTTTCCCCTTCCTGCTGCAGCTGTTGCTGCTGCTGTTGTTGCTGTAGCTGCTGTAGCTGCTGCGGCTGCTGCGGCTGCTGTTGCTGCTGCTGCTTCTGCAAAGCCTCAAAGGGATGTTGCTGCCTGCCACTTGCAGCAAGAGCAGCAGCAGCGGCAGACGTGTTAGAAGTAGCAGGTACATTAGCAACAGCAGCAGCAGCAGCAGCAGCTGCAGCAGGCTGGTTTGTATCCCAACGAATTTGTGCAACTTCCCTGGGGAAGACGGCTACTCTGCTCCTTGCCGCTGCTGCTGCTGCTGCTGCTGCTGCTGCTGCTTGTCTTGCATGTGCTGCAGCAGTTGGTGCTTGTGCGGTCGTTGTTGGTACTCCAGCTGGTGGGGCTGTAGCAGCAGCAGCAGCCGCTGCTGCTGCTGCTGCTGCTGCAGCAGGATCGGGGGAGGCACAGAGCTGCCGCTGCTGCTCTAGAAACATTTGAAGGCGAGTGTCTCTAAGTTCTTGCTGCTGGGCCCTCATTTGCTGCTGCGTGTCTTTTGCTGCTTGCTGCGCTGTCTCCTCTCCCAGCAGGCCCGCAGCAACACAAGCCAAAGCCCGCTGCTGCTGCTGCTGCTCCTGCTGCCGCTGCTGCTGCCGTTGCTGCGGGTGCTGCAGGAGTTCGCTTTGCTGTTCAGCACTCGCTGCTGCTGCTGCTGCTGCTGCTGCTGGGGGAGGAGGACCCTCCGAAGCATCTGCTGCTGCTGCTGCATGCACCACCCCAATCCACCTCTGAATAAATCGAATTGCGCTTTCAACGTCTACAGATTTACGCAGCTCAAGAGGCTCCTCAGGGAAGGGAGCAGCAGCAGCAGCAGCAGCAGCAGCAGCAGGAACTGCAGCAGGAGTTACAG